CTTCAGGAATTCTCTTACAAATGATTTGGGTTTTGTAGGCCATGGAACTGTACTTACCCTGTTTGGTCTCAATCCTGGGCACTGAAGACATATTTTTAATAGAATATTTGATGATAAGAAACATTCAAAGGAGCAATTGAAAGCATGTTAGAAATCTCCATGGCTCATGGACCCTTTTGGTTTTCTGAAACAAAGATCAGAATAACACTGATTGTGCATATAGGCTTAGAACTTTATATACTTTAGGAACTCCTGGGTTCCAAGTGAAAAAAAAAAAACTCCTGTTATATAATCTAGCCTTACTCTCAATGACCTGTAAAACAGGTGTTTTTTTTTTTTCTTTCCTTTGGAAAGTCAGATTTTACAGAGAGCAGGAGAGACAGAGAGAAAGATCAGAAAGCTGGAGCTGAGCTGATCTGAAGCCTCGAGCCAGGAGTTCTTCCAGGTCTCCCACATGGGTGCAGGGTCCCAAGGCTTTAGGCCGTCCTCGGACTGCTTTCCCAGGCCCCAGGAGGGAGCTGGGTGGGAAGTGGAGCAGTCAGGATTAGAACCGGTGCCCATATGGGATCCTGGCAATTGCAAAGTGAGGATTTACGAGGCTATTGCACCATGCCCAAGTTCTTTTTCTTTTTTTTTTTTTTTTAAGATTTATTTATTTTTGTTGGAAAGACTGATTTACAGAGAGAAGGAGAGATTGAAAGATCTTCCACCGACTGGTTTACTCATCAGTTGGCTGCAATGGCCAGAGCTGAGCCGACTGAAGCCAGGAGCAAGGAACTTCTGGGTCTCTCATGCTGGTGCAGGGTCCCATGCTTTTGGCCATCCTCTATTGCTTTCCCAGCCAGAAGCAGGGAACTGGATGGGAAGTGGAGCCGAGAGGACATGAACCTGGCACCCACTTGGGATCCTGGCACGTGCAAGGTAATGATTTAGCCACTGGACCTTTGTGCTGGGCCATTATAAACAAGTTTTTCAAGAAAGAAGTTCAAGAATTTCCTCATTCTCTTGAATGAGTACCAATGCATTTTAAAGGATTCTGTAGTAGTTCAGTTAGCTTCCCAAATGCCTTACAGAGAATCCTTGCCTGCCAACTCTATGAATCACTGTTGACTGAAATTAAGTCTTTCTCATTGGCCACACACTCTTGAAACTTTAAAAGGCTTGCTGGGTGGTACTGAGATAGAATCAGAAATCTGTTAATGTCTTGGTAATTTTTTAAATCCTCCTAACATCCTTAAAATTAATAGTTCAGTTAGGTGTTATTTAAACTGTAGCAGTTAGGAGAGGATTAACTTTTCTTGATCAAAGATAGGGCAAAGAGAAGCTGGTGCCATTAGTGCTAACCTATTTTTTCATGTATTAATTAACGTAAGGAGGAGGAGGCAATAGGAACTGCCATTCTCAGGGTCAGGTTGTATGCAGTAGTCATTGCGTAGTGCCCGGGGCTGGAGGCCCTTAACCCTGAGTCCTTTTGGTTGTGTTAATTTCGAGGTGACAACCTTCTCCAATTCTGGTACCAGCTTTGTGCCAGTCCCTTTCATTTCTTTAGCACTGGGATTTCCTCCTAGGTTGTGGACCCTCCTGCTCAGGATGAGATTTTAGGTTGCCCCATGATAACTTAGTGCTTTTCCTTATTTGTAAGATTGTTTAAAATTTTATTCTATGGAACTTCTGCTAGCGGAATGCCAGTTTTTTTGTAATGTTTCTGCAATCAAAAATGGTAATATTTTTGTGCCCTCTTTTCTTCCTTCTCACTACAAGGAAAATCTGATGAGGTGAGGGTAGAGATTTTTCTTATAAAATAATTTTAAAAAGTCTTTGAAAGGCAGAAAGACAGAGAGGCACATTAGTAGGGAACTGGATGAGAAGCTGGACAGCCAGGACTAAGCACACATATGGCATACACATAAGCACACATAAGGCAGTGCCTTAACTTGTTGTGTTACCATGCCAGGCAGAGGGCAGCGAGATTACTCCTGTTACTTTATTCCTTATATTTTATATTCCATATTCTTATATCCATGTTCCTATTTGCCTGTTATCAAGGGCAGTGCCCAGTGCTGAATCCTGGCAGTTACTCAGCAAATCATTGAATGAATCCATGAACATGTGTCTTCCCACAAACTTTGCAAGGATGGGAACCATGTCTGCTTTATTTAGAGGCCATAGCAGTACACATGGGTTTTTAATTGAAGAATGGTTAGTAGACTTGTAAGAGTCCTATCTCTTGATTCCCCTCTGCTTTAGAAACCACAGAAACCACACAGAACCTTCTGGGATCTAAATCATTTGACCAGCAGAAGAAACCTTCCTTTTCATTAGTCTTAAGCCACGTGTTTCATGGCTCAATTCAAGCCCTCTCCTGTGACTGTGACTCTGACAATTACAGATCCTCTAGTTATTCATGTCTAAATTGAGCTAAACAGTAACAGCTGGTTTATATATGGTTCTCTTGGAGAATAAGTGGGTTTCTAGAAAGTAAAGTATTAAGAACTGCTATAGGACATAAAGTTCAAAAACTTGGATGTGCTGATGGTGTGGTGAAGATGTGGAATGTTTTTGTACTTTACAATCATTGAATTATTTCATTCTACTATTTTGCTTCATCTTTGCTTTCTCAAATTGAAGAATCATCTAAAAATTTAAATATTTTGTTATTCAAAATATTTCCATTAAGTGATTATCTTAATCTAAGCTTATTATGAAACATAATTTGATCTACTGCATTAACTATTTATCATTATTAGGAAAACTTTATTTTCATGAGGATACTGAATCGATATTTTTCCTACCCAGAATCTGTTTAATGTAAATTTTCTCTATCTGAAACATTTTCTGTGATATTGTCTTTTACATTTGAATATTCCTCACCTATTTTTTGGAGGACAGGATTAATATAATATTACTTGCTATTATAAGATCAGAATAAACTACCTGGCATGGGAGAGTTTCCTTTGCAAAGTTAGTTTCTAGAATTTTGTAAGAGTATTTCACACAGAACTTAACTAAGCACCTGTGTATCTTTTTTTGGTTTCTTTGTTTTTCACGTGGTGAGTCCGTAAATGCTATTTTCATAGTTTCTGTAAATAACAGTTATTTTTAGGCCAGGCTTGCCAGGAGGGAGAACAAAAAGAAAAACATTCAGTTCTCTTCCACACCCTGAGTTGATCACTTACAGTAATCTTGACTGGGCATAGAGGGAGACTAGAAGTAAAATCGAATAGAGTTAGCCTGTGATGTAGATATGTCTTTTTTTGGTTTTGTTATTGCTAAGATATTAGTAATAAAAATACTAATTAGAGCTTAATAGTCTAGTTTTTCACTTTCTATGTGATACCCTGCTCTTAAACATTTAGCGTTATAAAAGATCCTTGAAACAATTCTTAAGGGAATAAAAAGAATAAAACCATGTAAATGATGTCTGAGATTTCTCTCTTGCTTTTTAGTTGGGTGATATTTGTGTCATGAAGGAATTTCTGTTCTGTATGAGCAAACTGTGCTGTTTTCAGCCCATTGGAGCTCTCTGACTCCCAAAGCCTAAGAAGCTAGAGACTTGGAAAGTTAGGTTTTTGTGTTGGTGATTTAACTTAGTTTTGATTCTCAGCACACCAGCTCTAACTTAAGAAAAAATGCTTCACCTTAGGGTTGGTAGGATGAGTAATGAAGGCTCTCTTGAATCATGAAACAAAATGGAATAAAATACTTCACACAGATCACATAGATGCTTTGAAAGTAGTTGATTTGGAAAAGTAAACTTAAAATTTGGGACAGTACAAATAAAGTAGTTGGTGCAGAATTGAATCAAAAACTTCATAGAGCACTAAATAAAAGTAAAAATTCGAGTAGAAGAATAAAAGAAAAACAGGAACTTTGATTAATCTCCATAGTGTGTGTGTGTTTTAAATACTTACAGTTAAAATGTTATTCTTACATTAGAAAAAAAAATAATAAGCCCTGAGAAGCTATAAAACCCATGTGACTTTGTGAAAGTTGTGAGCACTGGAAGTATCCATTGTGGAAGGTTAAAACTGGCTTATCCCAGGGCCCGGCGCGATGGCGCGGTGGTTAATGTCCTTGCTTTGCACGCCCTGCTTCCCATCCAGCTCCCTGCCTGTGGCCCGGGAAAGCAGTCAAGGATGGCCCAAGGCTTTGGGACCCTGCGCCCATGTGGGAGACCTGGAAGAGGCTCCTGGTTTCAGATTGGCTCAGCTCCAGCTGTCGCACTGGGGAGTGAATCATCGAACAGAAGATCTTCCTCTCTGTCTGTCCTCTCTGTATATCCGCCTTTCCAATAAAAATAAAATAAATCTTAAAAAAAAAAAAACCTGGCTTATCCCAAAGGGATACAAAGACTACACACACAGATGTCATCAGTGGTGACACTGACAGCATGTACCACTTGGAAATGGGAAGTTTAAAATGAACTTCATGAAACAAGAAATATCCCTGAACTCTTTGCAAGGGCATAGACAATAAGAAATAGAATATGCCTTACATTTTTAGGAAGACATAGATTTACAGAAGAGAAACCCACAGCCAGGACTCAGACAGTGTTGAAATCTGCTTTTGGGAGGAGGTTCTCATTTTACAATGTTTGAATGGACTCTCTCCTGTTGGATAGTTTCCTTCAGTGGAAGAGTGGTTTTTTTTTTTTCTTAAGTATTGGTTTTCTTCAATTTTGACTTATCAAACTTCCCCACTTTTGATAAGTCCGGTATCTCACTCTTCTTGGCTAAATGGACACAAGAAGATTCAAGAACAGATGTCTGTTGGGTGCACACTGCAGCTCACACAGGGTCGGGCCTTATAGTGTATTTGATCTTTGTCATGACGATGTTTAGCTGAAGAGATGCTGGGTGCAGACTGTCACTTTACGATGTAGTAAAAGTAGGCCTTGGGTGACTAATGCATACAGCCTGACTTATATGTGAACTGGAAGTGAGAGTGATAATTGTCAGGATCCTTTAACAACGAGACTCTTTCTTTCTCCTGCTCTCCAGATTTTCACCTGATGGAAGGCTAATTGTGTCATGTAGTGAGGATAAAACTGTTAAAATCTGGGACGGTACAAATAAGCAGTGTGTTAAGAACTTCTCAGACTCAGTAGGGTAAGTTCATTCTCTGTATTTCTACGAGTGAATTTTCTAAGGACAATTATAACAAATGAAAGAAAAATTCAAATACTGAGCCATGACTAATGTTTTTTCCCTAGGTTTGCAAATTTTGTGGATTTTAACCCTAGTGCTACGTGCATAGCTTCAGCAGGTTCTGATCACACTGTGAAAATCTGGGATTTAAGGATGAATAAACTACTGCAGCATTATCAAGGTAACAATTTCCTGGACACACACATTTCATTGTTAACTTGTCCTCTTTGGGAATGGCGGTTCTTCGTGGGCTGGTTTAGCTGTCTTTTGTTGTTTTGGATTTGACTTGATTTTTTGTTTAAGGTGTGAAGAGGCAAAGGTATAAAAAGAGGTCTCCCACCGTCTGGTGCACTGCTCGCAGGCCTGCAAAGGGCTGGGCTGAAGCCAGGATTAGGGAGTTCAACCCAGGTCTCCTGTGTGGGGAGTGGGAACGTATGACATGTGCCATCACTGTTTACATTGGCAGGAAGTTGGAGTCAAGGGTGGGCATGGAACCCAGGCTCTATGGTGTGGCATGTGGGTGTTGTCGCTGTTCATCAGCATCTTAACTGCTGGGCTAAACTCTGAATCCTGGTTTTGCTCTCCTGGTGAGGGTCCATGAGTCTTTTAACTGACTAAAGAATAGTACAGTTAGCATCCATCAGCAGCAAAATAAGGAAGGATGTGGAGCACTCTTACAATGATGTTATAACTGTTTAAAAATAGTCACTCTGAGGTTTTCAAGGTAGTTGTCTGCGCTGTGTGAGAAATAAAGGATAGTGACACTGAATTCTGGATCACAGGGGGTAAACTAAGCACAGATTCAAGTGTTACAATGGCCAGAGAAAACATTCCTGCTGTGCCTGTACGTTTGAAAGTAAAGTGAAATGATTTTCTTTGTTTTTGTTGGATTTATATAAAATCCACAATAATCATTATCACCTATTCAGTGTTTAATGTGTAGCAGACATTGTGATAAATCTTCATAATATGGCTAATAGGCATTATAATAATCCCAATATTAAAGGCAGGAAAGTTGAAGCTTAGGAAAGATAAGTTCCTTTCTCAAAAAATTGACAGAATTGACTTGTGGATTTTCAAGTACAAAGTACATCAAAAAACACTTTTGCATTTATTTTTAAAATTGTACAAAATGAGTAGATTTCACATTGTTAAAAGATTTACGGGGCCCGGCGCGGTGGCGCAAGTGGTTAAGGTCCTCGCCTTGCACACCCGGGATCCCATATGGGCGCCGGTTCTAATCCCGGCAGCCCCGCTTCCCTTCCAGCTCCCTGCCTGTGGCCCGGGAAAGTAGTCAAGGACAACCTAAGGCTTTGGGACCCTGCACCCGCGTGGGAGACCCGGAAGAGGCTCCTGGCTTCGGATCGGCATAGTATCGGCCGTTGGGCTCACTTGGAGAGTGAATCATCGGACGGAAGATCTTCCTCTCTGTCTCTCCTCTCTGTATATCTGCCTTTCCAATAAAAAAAATAATAAAAATAAATCTTTAAAAAAAAAGATTTACTTATTTGAGAGGCAAATTTACAGAGAGAGCAGAAGAGAAGGAGAGGTCTTCTATGCATTACGTCACTTCCCAGGTGGCCACAGCTGCTGGAACTGAGCCAATCGGCAGGCAGAGGCAGGAGCTTCCTCTGGTCTCCCATCTGGATGCAGCAGTCTGAGGATTTGAGCCATCCTCTGATACTTTCCCAGGCCATATGCAGGGAGCTGGTCCAGGAACGGAGCAGCCAGGACACAAATTGACACCCATAGAAGATGCTGGTATTGTGGGCTGAGGCTTAACTTACTAGACTATGGAGCCAACACGAGTTCACATTTTTCATAGTACGGAGTTAAAAGCATAGGGTTTCCTTTCTCCTCCCTATATCCTTATCTCCCCCTTATTATTTTCCAAATTTTTATAATAGCTCATTAATCACTTTTGATTAGTTATGTTTTTACATCTTTTTTTTCATGATGTGGTTTCATAGGCAACAGGGATCCCCTCTCCACCCTCCCATTCACCCCCTACACCCAGCTGTTTTTGCCCATATTATTTCAATAGTGTACTCCTTCAGCAATATCCTTACCAGCATCTAGCCTTAAGGGAAATGCAATTAAAAACCACAGTGAGGTTCCACCTAACTCCCATAAGAATGTCTACCATACAGAAATTAATGCGCACTTTTGATCACTGTGTTATACTGCCTCCTACTGGTAGGACAGTGTCCAGAAGCGAGTTCTCAAACCTGATGGCAGGACGTGCCCATCTCCCAGTGTACCTCTGAACTCCTTACTTATTAATCCATGCTGCTAATTAGTTATTCAATCTAATTTAAGGTTAGATTATTATATACCTTATATGAGCTGATAGTAATCAGCTGTTGGTTATAGTGTCAGTATATCTTAGCACTGCATAGTTTGGTGATCAGAAAGACTAAGCATGACATTGTCTGGATGTTAAAGTTACTTGGTTTTGTGAACTGAAAGGTACTATTTTATGACACCAAAATGTTTGTTTTAATTAGCTGCAAATAATTTTGAGACATTCCTCTGACAGATTCTTATTTTCAGGGTAACATTGCTAATAAGGCAAAGGGACATCTTTAAAATTATTTGCTCTCTGAGAAGTTGTTAAATATTAAGGTCATGTGTCATTTTAAAAAAGAATTGTCTCGTGAATCTTTGCTTTGGTTTTCTACTATTTAGTTCACAGTGGTGGAGTTAACTGCCTGTCCTTCCATCCTTCGGGTAACTTCCTCATCACTGCTTCTTCGGATGGCACACTAAAGATTCTGGACCTCTTGGAAGGAAGACTCATATATACACTTCAAGGGCATACGGTATGAGCATTACACTTTTATTTTTTATATTATATATATATTTAATTGCTCCATTTTGTCATTTCTCTTTATTATTTTCACAAACAGCACAACATTGGTGATTTCACTAAAATGTTTTATTTCAAGGCTGGGTTTTCTTTCTCTGGAGCCAATTCATAGAAATACCATTTTTTGTAATTCTTGTTCAAACCCATGTGTCTTTTAATGGCCATTAAACTAATCACCTCCATGGCTGTCTTCATCGGTGGGTAGTGAAGACTGGCTGAGTGGTGATGGGTGAACTTGCCCCACTTCCAACTTTTCCCTTGACACAGAGTCTGTCTTAACAGCTCTGACACTCAGCCTCTCTTAGCCTTACTCTTTTCATTGATCCAGTTAGTGAGGTTAGAAGGAGATACTTTTTAAAGATCTATTTTATTTAGTTTCTGTAGAGAGTTGCACAGAGAGAGTGTGTGACAGAGAGCCTCACTTTTCTGTTGGCTCATTCCCTAGAGGTGAGCCAGGCTGAAATCAGGAACCAGGAGCCACGTCTGAGTCTCCTGTGTAGGTGGTGCAGGCCAGGAACTTGGACCATCCTCCACTGCTTGCCCAGATGTATTAGCAGGGAGCTAGATCTGAACCAGAACAGCAAAGACTCGAATTGGTACCCATTTGGCATATAACATTGTAGGTGACAGCTTAACTTGTTATGCCACAGTGTTGGCCTCAGATAGAAAAATCTGACAAGCATAGTCATGTGTATTCTGTTTTACAACCCATTCGCCAGAGCCCATTCCTTACTGCTTTGTGCTGACATTTCATGCAGGGAAACCTGCCAGGTACAGAGTTGCCTGCAATGAGGTTGGCAAACATGACGTAGAGCTCAGCATGTCTATTCTTGAAAGCCCGTTTGCTTTACAGATAGAAGCACTCTGGCTTTCTATAAGCGTTTATTAGCAAGAATATGATATTTGGGCTCTTAAATGCCTTATACCTTTGCATTATTTCTCAACTGGTTTAGGAACCCAAAGAAGTAGTGTGCTATTTATTGAGCCTGTTCAAAAATATCATTACATCCTCACTCCCACCTGCTATAGAATGCATTAGGCAGATATGTACGTTTATAACTATTACCCCTTCTGAATAAATATTCAAAATTCTCAAAGTTTTTTAGGATGCTTTTTTTCAGAAAGATGCAGAAGATGCTTCCTGTTAGCCAAGTATGAGTTTTTTTTTTTAATGTAGAAATGAAATCGGTGTTGTGGTCTACAAGAGTCAGGGTTCTTTCTACCTCTGTATATCCTTCCTTTGCTTATCATTTGCCCCATGGCAGTGTTGGGTGCAGCCGCAGTACATACTAACCAGCTCAGACATGTGCATGGCCTGGACTGTAGGTTGAATCAACTCAGACAATAAAAGAGACCAAGTATTGAAACATTTCTACAAAAGAAGTAAAGTTAAAAGAAAAAAAATAAACACAATATTCTAGGAGGAAAATGTTACACATGAAGATGGAATTTGTCACAGCCTGGAGGTGAAGGTATTTATGAAGCTGTAGTAACTTAAGTGTGACAGATGCTCTATATAAAAACACACAATGTTTCCCTAGAAGTTTTCTTGCATAGATTAATGCCATTCTGAAAACAAACAATATATATTTCTGAGATGAGAAATACTATTCTTACCCTGTCTGAAAAAGGGAGCTCAAGGTCGTACATGCTGTGACTGTGCCAAGTACGGTGCTGTCCAAGGCTGCAGCAGTTGTTCTGGACTCTCAGCTAGGGCTGGCAGCACTTTTCCAAGTAGCCTCCAGTCACTCATTCTTCCTCGAATTCACTATGCTTGCAGCTGTGATCACTTACATCCCTCTCATCTATGCTCTGCGTTTGAACAGACACAAAGATCTTCCATCTGCTGCTTCATCACTCCCCAAATGGCTGCAGTGCCCAGAGCGGAACTGATCTGAAGCTAGGAGCTTCCTATAGGTCTTCCGCTTGGGCATGGGGTTCCAAGGTTTAGGGCCATCCTCTACCACTTTTGTAGGCCATAAGCAGAGAGCTAGATGGGAAGTGGAGCAGCTGGGACATGAACTGGCAGCCGTATGGGATGCCAGTGCTTGCAGACAGGATTAGCCAATTGAGCCCTTGTGTCAGGCCATGCTATTAAACTTTGAAGGACTTGATCTTTCCCTACATGTTAAAAGGCTTGGTGAACTCAATCATAGTCAGGGAATGGCCGTTATTTAGATAGCCACCATTACTTACATATTTATCTTACAGTTCCTGCTAGTAATTGGTTTGCTGAATATAGCCCACACCCAGAAAAATCTTAACAGAAATTCTTTAAGGCTTGCACATATGCAAACTTTTCTTTAAAGGAAGAAAAAAAATAAATTTTTGGTATTCCTGTTCATTTAGTGTTGAGTATTTATGGTTATCTTAATTTGTATGTACAATTTGTTTGAATTTTTGATTATTCTGCCAACATTAGTTGATAACAAGTATTATATATGCATGCATTAAATGTATATATGTACATATATATGTACCATACATTTTATATAAATACATAAACACTCTAACTCAACTAAATAAAATATTATGTATATTTACATGTATGTATTTAGACACACACATGCATGTATATTTATTATACATATATTTAAAACCAGATTTATTCCAGAAGTTAGCAATTGGCACTTTTAGTTCTCTTAGCAATGAGAAGGCATTATCAAATACTTTTTAATTTGCTATCTATTTATTTCACAGGGTCCTGTCTATGCTGTTTCATTTTCAAAAAATGGAGAGCTGTTTTCATCAGGGGGTGCAGACACACAGGTTTGTAAATCATTTGACTTCCTGTTTAACTCACTCTGGATAAAAAAATTATTGACCTCAGCTAAGATTTTTACAGCCAGCTGGTCTGTGTATGTAAGATGATTATCAAAGAGTTTCCATGTTAGTTTAGTGCCAGGAAGTCTTCTATCTGAAAGCTGGAATGGTGCCAGTTTTGATAGTTTTTAAAACTTGCATAGTAGCAAATCTATATTTGAAATGGCTAAAAATCATCTGTAGCTAAATTTATTGAATAAAATAGATAATAAACTTTTTGGGCTTTGAAAAAGAGGAGTTAAAAGATATTTTCTTAATGCAGATCTTAAGCCAAATTAGGAGGTTAGTTGAAAAGCTGAATCTCCCCCAGAAATCATGCCTAAATAAAGTATTGAGAAATAGAAACCTTGTTTAAACATGTCTAGTGACTTTGGCTCATGAAATGGCCCATTAGATGACATAAGGAGAGATTTCCAAACCTTGTACATGCAAGTCTTATGCCCCTAACCAGCAATTAGTAACTACGGAAGATGAGATTGAGTCTCCATCTGTCAGCAACCCTGAAGAATAAAGGCCAGACGTCTGTGAGGACAGAATGAATTGGGACAGGTATGAAGCGGAAGCTGTGTCTCCCTGCCTTAGGTAATGCTGTCTGCCTTTGTGTCAGTCAAATGTCCCCTTCCCTAGGATGAACTTGCTGTAATCCAGGACTTGGGGGTAATACTGTGTAACCCTTTCCAGGCTTATGAGAAGCCTGGCAGCAGGGAGGGTCATCAAGGTGAAGGTGAAAGCATCTCTCTCTCCCACCTTTCCCCTCCCTGCCTGCTCGGTTCCTGCAGATGGCCCATGCGTATCTGCGAAATTGCTCACCTTTTAAATAAACTATATAAAATAACCTCACATCTAATATTTCTGTTTTGATAGCCATTTCTATAGATTTTTTAAAAAATCAATTCTATTGCTTGACCAAAGGTACTTAAAAGTTTGTGAAAAATGGAATTACAAGTTTATCTTGGTGCAAAAAAATTTTTTTTAAAATTGAGTTTGCTTATTCTCAGGACAGAATTACAGAGAAAGGGAGAGACAGACAGAGGCTCTTCCATAGACCAGACCGAAGCCAGCAGCCAGGAGCACATCTGGGTCTCTCCCATTGGTGCAGAGGCCCAAGAACTTGGGCTATCTTCCCACTGCTTCTCCCAGGTTTATAAAAAGGAACTGGATCATAAGTGGAGCAGCAGGAACTGAACCATTGCCCATGTGGAATGCTGGAATTGCAGGCTGTGGTTTAATCCTGCAAAATTTTTGAAATTCGTGCATATGAGGGATCTGTAGAAGTTTCATGAAAAACGCATATTATCAGGGCAGTGCTGTTTTACAGTGTGTTGAGCTGCCTCGCTGTGCTAGTACCCCGTAAGGACGCTGGCGTGAGAAGCAGCTGCTGCACTTCTGATTCTGCTTCCTGCCAATGTGCCTGAGAAAGCAACAGAAGATGGCCTTGAACCCCTGCCACCTCTGTAGGAGACCTATGTGAAGCTGCTTGGCTCTTGGCTTCTCTAACTCTCCCCTTCAAATAAATAAATACATATTTTTGAAGAAAAAAAGGAAGAAAACTGCCATTTATAAACACACACACACACACACACACACACACACACACACGCACACACGGGGTGGGCATCTGGTTTAGCAACTTGGATGCTGGCTGAGACACTTGAGTCTCCTTTTCAGATGCCTGCGTCCAGCACCCACTCTATTTTCCCTACACCAGCTTCCTGTGATGCAGACCCTGGAAGGTCAGCACGATGACTCAAGTAATTGAATTCCTGCTACCTTGCGGGGGCCTCATCTGAGTTCCCAGCTTCAGCCCTGGCCAGTCTCCCTGTGGTGCTGGCCACACTGGAGGAGTGAAACGACGGATGAGACATCTCTCTTCTCTACTCCCCCTTCCCCCTCTCTCATTACCCCCTTCCTCTTCCTTCCACTCCCTCTTTCTCTCTGTCTCCTGCTCCCCTTTCTTCATGTCCCTCTTCTCTTTTCTTTTTTTTTCCTTCCCTGCTTCCCTAATCCTCCACCTTCTTTCTCTCTGTCCCTCAAATTAAAAAAACAAAACTGTGCATACATTTAGAAATATTCTGCAACAAAATAAACCTTTAATTCCATTTTCCATGAGCTTTTCTAAGTTCCTTAGTACATGCACGTCAATAACTGCCAATTTCATTTACATTTTTTATAGGTCTTATTATGGAGGACTAACTTTGATGATTTCAATTCTAAAGATCCTAAAAGAAATCTTAAAAGATTACATTTGGATTCAACACCGCATCTTCTCGATATCTACCCCAGAACACCACATCCCCATGAGAGAACTGAAACTGTTGAAGTAAGTTTTTTTGTGCGTTTGTCTTACATTGTATGCCTATTTTAGGACTCTATCAACTAGGTGCTTGAAATTATGCCAACTTATACAAAAGCTAGTTCTGCTTTAAAACAGTAGAACTTCAAGAAACAAGCCAATTGATGGTGTGTAATAAATTTCCTAAAGTTTTTTATGGGCCTAGAAATCGAACTTAAAAATTATGGTGAAAGTAATAGAGAATGGAAATTTACATCCCAGGCTGCTAGTGACTGCTATCTGAACTAGCTTCAATAATCTAAGTATGTTTAGGAAGATCAGATGATGACTGCATTGAGAATAGGGCTAAGAGCAAGAATTTGTGTTCACACACACACACTTTCTACCTGCTGGTTTGTCCTAATGGTTGTAGTGGCTGGGGGATAGGCAAGGTTAGAGCCAGCGGCCTGGAGCTGCATCCTTGCATGCATGGGCCCGAGAACTTGGAGGATCACAGGCTGTTTTCCCAAGTGCATTGGCAGGGATAAGAGGTGGGACAGCCAAGATGCCAAGTGGCACTCATATGATGCCAGTGTCCCAGGTCACCAGTTGAACTCACTTCAACACATGGCCAGCCCCTAGGTTAAAGATTTTTATATTGGTTATTGAGTCAGTTACTTTGAAACCCTTCTGTAGTCCCTTCACCCCCATCTCCCTCCCCACCCCTAAAACACAAAGTCTATTGGTCAGTGAAAAAGCAGATTTAGGGAATTGAACCTAGTAATTGGGACCTTTTTATTGCTTACCTACATATGTTTGGCTGTACGGTTACATGTTTAACTTTACATCTTATTGACAATTTCTTTTGTCCTGTAGATTTAAGTCTAGGAGACTCCCAAGTAAAATTCATCTTTATTTGTATGCTTCTGTGAAATCAATCTATCTACTGATTTTTTAAGACTTTTTCTCTTCCAAGAGCTAATATCAGAAATCACTGTCCCTTATTAATCTGTTCATTCAAACTTAGTACTTCTTGTTTAATCATAGCAGAGCCTTTATTTGCTTTTCAAGCAGCTGTTTAGAGTTCTTGGTGACAATGGACTATAACCACATTTTTTTTATTCAGACTATGAGCCCAACCCTCTGTGGTCTGTTTTGTCCCACACCCCAGTTACCTTCATTTTGTTTCCTTTCTTTAATTGTTATCGTTTTGAATGACAGTTTTGTTGGTATAGTATGCCTCCCTTCCCCTCCCCTTCCTGCCTTCCCACTCTCCTCTTCCACCATTTCCCCCATATTATCATGGTACCGTAGCCCTTTTGTAAGTTACAGGCTGACCATTCTGCTGTGTAAGTACACCAGGGCATTGTAGGTATAGGCAAAGGTAGAAAGTCCAATGTCATGCTGTCAAAGTATATTTAACATTTTCATTGGGAATCCTTGTATTTCAAGCAGAGATGTGTCCTGCAACATGAGTTTGCTTCTCAGTATGTGGTCTCTATTATATAGTTTATCTATGAGAATGCTTACCTATGTGTCTATTAGTTTTGTGTTTTGCAACACCCCAATTATTTTCTTTAATATTGGCTTCTTTTGTCATGGTCTTGTCTATTGCCTCAGGTACTTCCACTAGTCTCAGCTTGTGCATATGTATATATGCCTTTTTTCTTTTTCTTTTTTTCTGTTTTTGGAGTATTTTTTACGTTTTGTTTAATCCAGCTGTATTTTGGAATTTTGCTATAATTCTTCCTTGGTAGTGTAGAGTTCTTATTCCTTGTTACAAGTTTATCTTTTCTAACTCTGTCTTTTAGTTCTTCTAAAGTGTTATTATGTTTCATGCTGCTTCCAGTATCATCATTTTTTCCCTCTTATTTCTTTGAAAAAAAAGAATGAAATATTTGCTTATTGCTCTTCACATTTTTTGTTTCTACAATTACAGATGTTTGTTAATCCTTATGCTCATACAAGGGAGCTTCACAGAGGCACAAAGGTCATAGAAGGTGGAATTAGAAGATGATATGAACTTCCCATGAGTGTTTTGAAGTCCCTGTGTAAATGTCCATATGAAATATATGTGAAATCCGTTTTAATTTGAGTGTCCTTCCCTTGTGTTTACTGTCTCTGCTGCTTCTGTTCTAGCATTTCTATGGCTTTGCTGGGCTTGGTCAGGGCAGGAGGAGGCAGAGTGGGCGGAGCTGCAGCCTGGGCCTGGGCCTGCTGATGTATTTGGTGGAGCCATGTGCTGTCAGCCCCTTTCCGCTTGAAGTGCTTGACTTTCTTGAAAATGTCAACAAGTTGTCTGAGTACCTGTGTGCTCTGACTGTACAGCCAGAAAGCTGTAAAACCAGCCAGATTGCTTTGTGTTGCTAGGTCAGGATGACCCGGGCCCGGTAAAACCATTCTCAACCATAGTTTTCACATGTGCACTTAAAAAATTCTCTTAAAAACTGATTTTCATCATCAAGTTACAGTGCAGTTAGTAATATGCTGCTGAGTATTATAAATGACTTCTTCAGGAAATCCCATGAAACGCATTTAAATTCTCTGTTAGTGTTCGTGGTTGCTTTAAGGAATGGGGTAATTCAAAAAGCTCCTGGAAAATGGAATGGAAGAACAAATCTATTACAGTGCCAAAAAATGTACATCCTTACAAGAAGTGTTTAGAAAGTTCATGGAAAATGTCTGTGAAGAGAAATCTGTATAGATTTCTATAGTTCTCCTGAGCAGTCCCTTTCCGTTTGTCACATTTTGATGGGAAGGTAGCTGAGCCATTCTCTGAGACAGTGACGAGGCTTAGTGACACTGACGCATTAGAGCAGTTATTCTAGGAGAACTGAAGAATATTGGAAGAAGGGATTATGATTAAACAGAATTTATTAATAATTGTTAGGATGGCTTAAAGTTTTATGGTGGCCATTTGATATTGCCTATCTCTTTAAGTTACATACAAATTCTATGTATTTAACAAAAGGAGCACATTATTTAACTGGATAATTATATATGACGTTTGATCATCATTATTGAAAACCTCAGGAGATCAGTTTAAGTCTTCAAATATGTTTTTATCTCAGTCATCTTAAAAGATTGGAAACAGCCATTTGTGCCTTCAAATGTGATGACTTGTCTTATATCTCAGTTCTTGATGCTGTATGTATTTCTATTCCTTTGAATCTTTAGAGATCACATGGTGGTAATTGTAGTAGAAGTAGTGCTTACACTACACTGTTGTAAATGCTGTAAATAAGTTACATAATATTCATAAATTGCCTAGAAATTTTTATCCATGTGAGAAATTGAGTCATGTAAGTCAAACCTTGAAACTAGAATTTCAGCTTAGGCACTCTAATTCCGTTCTGCAGTCTTAATCATTTTGATATGGTGCTGCAATATAACTAAAGTTAAATTTTATTCTGTTAACAGATATTAGCCTTTCTGTGGGCTAGGCATTGTGTAGTTTTAAAGAATGCAGCAGTGAACAAAGTTAACCTATTCCTACCCTTCCGAAGCTTGTGGTCTGGGGAAGTCACATGGAGTTTAGTGGTAGAGGTGTTTATTGCTCATGAATGTCTCTATGTAAACGCCACATGGAATATCAGAGTGGGACGTGGCTTAGCACCTTTGAGAAATCCAATTTTAGGCTCCCTGTTCAGTGTCTTAAGGCTCCATTACCAAAGTACTGTATTGGTTTAGGTGCCAGTAACTTGGGCAACAATGCAGGAAAATACTATGGGCTTCATCGTGAGTTCCCCAGGTTCTTGCAGTCTGGGATTTTTCAGCGGGTATGGCTTAGCAGTTTTGATCTGATGGGTGAAACCCTATTGTATTTCCCTTGGAAACAATTCCCTATGTGCACACTAGGTGGCAGTAGATAAAAGAGAATAGAATCTGCAAGCTGGAAGGAAAAGTAGTCACTTGGGGTTTCTTCATTTGCCTTGCTCTGGATGGACTGGGAGGTGACACCAGGAGGCTGTGTTTGTTCCCTGCTCCATGGCCCTGTCACGCAAAAGCAAAGGTGCCGGCTGGCAGACCTGATAGTCCCACAGTCTCACCTTGCACAGGTTCATCCCTTCCTTACTGCATCATGTCAGTTGCTGGGTGTGGCTGTCGTAATTGCTAACACAGTTGGCTGAGTAATCATAAAATGTTATTATTTCTAAAATTTTCGCTATAACTGTCAAGCGTATTGAGTGCTTCAAAAGTCACTGTCCTATTGCCACTGCTTCAGTCCTCGTCGCCCCAGGCTCAGCCCAGTGCAGCAGTGTCTTCAGTGCCACCGTTTGTTCTTGATGCATTGGCATGTCTGTTAAATTCACTTTTTTTTCACCTTGCAGCTGGATTCAAATTTGTTTATGTTAAATGTATTTTATCTGTTTGGTGGTGATTACAGGATTGCCCAGGGTGGAAAGGATCAAGGATCAGGGAAAAGTAGGTGAAATCATTGTTTCCTAGTTCTCCATTTCATCTTGGGTCTGGGGGCAGATTTACTTTCTAAAATACACTTTTGCCTCTAACTTTCTGTGCGCTGAGGATTTGGCCTTTAGCAGCCACTGTAATTGTCCCTCCTCCTCCTCCTTTTTTGTTTGTTTGTTTGTTTATTTGAAGGACAGCATGATAAGGAGAGACAGAATAGTCATCCGCCTGCTGGTTCGCTGCCTGGAGATGCTTGTGCCAGCACAGGGGAGGCTGAAGCAAGAGCAGCAAGGCCGCTGGCCCCGAGTGGTGGGACCATCGTGGGCGGCTTCCCTGGGGCGTTGGCAGGAAGCTGGCTGGAGACAGAGGCAGAACTCCAACCCAAGCACTCTGCTGTGGGGTGCCGCCGCCCTAAAGAGCAGCCTGACCCATTGGCCGCAGTGCCTGCCCCCGTTGTCTCGTCTCTCCACCCCAGCACCAACCTGGTGAACCCATGCTGAGCACTGGGTTCCAACTCACGGCCATGTCTCTGTTTTTGCTTTGATTTTTTCTCAATCTTTTTCTTCTTCTTCAAAGGGTCTGTGTTAAGCTGTGCTTTGTCCTTGGGAAGCCTTTCTCACTTCCCGGAGCTTTTTGCATGCACTTATGGTTGATACCATTCATTTGATAGATAGTTTCCTGCTGTCTTCACTGCCCTTATTGCATATTGACAGTGATTCAAATGACCTCTCCAGAAGTAGTCACATTTCCACATAGTTACTTTATTGCTTTTCTTTATTTTTATTCTATATGCTTGAAGCTGTAATTATTATTTTGTTGTAACATTGAACGTCATATAAATAAATCATACAGAATAATTTTTCCTATGAATTGCTTCTTTTTTTTTACTTAACATAAAATCTTGAAATTCATGTGAATTTGTGTGTTCATATGTTGTTACACATCGCTGTGCTGTTTTGAGAGCTGTGTAATAGTCTATTGAATGTAGCAAGTGGTTCCCCCACGGCTTATTTTGTTGTTAATGTGTTTGGCTGTATTTCTTTCTTTTTTGGCCATTATTGATAATGTTTCTATAAACAAAGTTAATATTACTGAGATTTCAATTTCTTGCAGTCTCATAGATGCTGAGTGATATTTTGCTCTAATTTCCACTTTTCACATGACTAATATTTCTGACCATCTCTTCATATACTTATTGCTAGAATTTCATTTCGGCAACTTTTTTCTTGAGAGAACTGTCCTTCTGTCCTTTTTCCATTTTAAACATCATAATAACTTCCCTTACATCGTTAGCTAATTGTTGACTATGGTTAAACAGAAATTCTGCTTTTTGGCGCAGCTGCATACATCAGCTTATTGTCTTACCAATTTGTGTTGGTGGTTTGGGAGCGTCTTTCTCACTACTGGTTACAAACATGTCCTTACATGGACTACAGTTAACTGCGGCGTTGGCGTAACTTTTTACATCTTCAGTTATCTGCCACCCTCGTTTGTGTTAGCGTTTGGCAAGGACCCAATTGCTACGCCTGTTTTCACCCTTCCTCCTTGGATTTGTGTTGTCACTTTTATATTTATTTTTCATATATAAAGTGCTCTACTTTTGAGCTCTTTAAGGCATAACTAGCTTCTTGTTTACTTGAACCTTTTTTTAGTGCCAGCATTTTTTAAAAATGATTTATTTATTTTTATTGGAAAGGCAGATATACAGAGAGGAGGAGAGACGGAGAGAAGGATCTTCTATCCAATGGTTCACTCTCCAAGTGACTGCAACGGCTGGAGCTGAGCCAATCCAAAGCCAGGAGCCAGGACACTATCCCGGGTGTTCTGTGCCAGTGCAGAGTCCCAAAGCTTTGGGCTGTCCTCCACTGCTTTCCCGGGCCACAGGCGGGGAGCTGGATGGGAAGCGGGGTGCCAGGATTAGAACCAGTGACCATATGGGATCCCGGGGCGTTCAAGGCGAGGACCTTAACCACTACACTATCTATCGCACTGGGCCCTACCAGCATTTTTTAAAAATAAGACCTTAAACATTTTTATATAGGTATTCTGACGTCTTTTGAACTTGTTATGGTATTATAATCCATGTGTGGTTTTTGTTTGTTTAATTCTAAATGTGTGCTGAAATTTACAAATGCAGTTGGTTTTGTGTGTTTAGTTTGATTCTAGCAATTTTACTAAATTCTTACTCTAATGATTTGGCAGTAGATTGTTTGGGGTTTCTCCATAGATTAACTACACGATATATAAATGACAATTTTTATTTTTTTTTTCCCTAAAATTTCCTTATTTGAAAGGCAAAATTGGAGAGGGAGAGACAAGGAAAGAAACGACTTTTGTCTTCCAGTTCACTCCCCAAGTGGTTGGGACAGTCAGTGCTGGGCCAGCTGAGTCCAGGAGCCTCAAGCCCCGTCCAGGCTTCCCGGTTGGGCACAGGGGGAGGTGCGTTAGCAGGAGCTGGATCAGAAATGGAGCAGCTGCAGCTCACATCTGCATCCAGCGAGGATGCCATCGTTGCCGGCTGGCAGTGCAGCACACTGCTTCACAGTACCAGCCTCCAGTTGTCACATCCTCTTGTCTTAATGAACAGGAGGAGATTTTTTTATTTTTGATATCCATTTACAGTAAATTGTACTGATACCTTTCATTCCTTGGATAAATTCAGTGTGTCACAATTTTCTTTATAAAAATTAAAAACAATTTCATTATTATCATGTTATTATCATGATAATAATAAAGGGGATCTCCCCTACCTCTTCTCTCATCCTCCCTCCTCACTGACATCAGTAGCTGTTGGCTAATATGCAGTGTGAACTGTTTGTATATATTTTAATGAATAAAAGTAATGCATTTACTGCAATGAATATAAGAATGTATTAAGAAAATACCTTCTAGGGTTTTACAAATAACATCCAATCTCTTATGATATAAAAAATCTCACCTTAACTGCTTTATGCATTTATACAGATTAATCCAAAGCTTGAGGTCATCGATTTGCAGATTTCCACCCCCCCTGTTGTGGACATGCTTTCTTTGGATTCTACTACAGTAAGTGTGTTTTTTTACGTTGTGACTTCTTCTTTTAGCATTTAGGTGGTATCTAGTTATATGGTATAATTCATTTTCTTGGAAGCGTGTCAAGGGGAGGGGATAAAATGTGGGGTAGATGCTTCAACACTTGTATGGTTACCCTGAGAACTCTGGCAAAGTCCTGCTGACATTGTACCTACACAACCACAAGGGGGCGCTGTGCCCATTTCCAGAAATGCTGTCGTTTCCAGAATCCTGAGGTCAGTCTAATCCAGTCACTGATTTGTCAAGGTGTGACATAAGTAGTATTTTACTTGCCAACACAGAGCAGACCTCCTGCTGCTGTATTTGTCTTTCGGAGATGCTAAGCTTACTTCTTCAAATCTTGTCTTTTGTATCTTTTTGTTAACGTCTTCTGATGAAGGTGAAGAATATTTTATATATTTCAAATGCTTATTAAAATAGCAAACATACACACGTATATTTTATTCATTCAGTGTATGCAGTGGTTTCAGAATGGAGAGACAGGTTCCGTTTTTCAGTTTAGAAGTTTGCTTAGTCTGTCAGGGCAAATCATTGTAGTTGGTCTGGCTAGTTGGCGAGAACCTAGTTGTAAAAACAAATCCGAAGAACAACACGGTCTTTGGCAACACTACTGTTATGTTGTTGATTTAGTTCAATATTTGGGTAAAGTTTTTCATGGGTAGCCAAAAAAAGAAAAGAAAACAACAACAACAAAATCCCAGACGTGATGACATTACAAACTCCCAATGGATCTCAGGAATAATATTTATGATAGAGGAACTTTGCAGAGATCTGTTCCCCTTTGAGTCTGTGCTGTCCTGGAAAGCACTGTTAGCAAAGGCTCCCTCAGGCTCAGGCCACAACAGAGGGCTCCCACATCGCTTGGGAGGACTCAGCCTTGGTGACTGGCACCAAGTGAAGGCAGCAGAGGGGCTGATGGCCAAAGGGGCACAGGTATTGCTGATGAGGGCTATTGCCTCAGCCTGGTCTGCGATTTGTTGTTGCTGTTGTTATTAAAGATTTATTTTATTTTTATTTGAAAGTCAGATATAGAGATGAGAGACAGAAAGATCTTCCATCCGTTGATTCACTTCCCAAGTGGCCACATCAGACAAAATCGAGCCATTCTGATGCCAGGAGCTTTTTTCTGCGTCTCCCACATGGGTCCCGGGTCTCAAGGCCTTGGGCCGTCCTCAATGGCTTTCTGAGGCAATTGGGTGAGAACTGGGGCTGCTGGGATATGGTATCCTGGTGCATGCAAAGCAAGGACTTTAGTCACTAGGCTACTGCAGCAGGCCCTGGTCTGTGATCTTATCACTCATGTTTAGAAAATAATTACAGCATTTCTGTAAAAACTTATTGAATTAAAATATAACTAGATTGTAAATGGCCAGAATGCTGGGCTCAGTTGATTTAATTTTTATTAGTTATCCAAATGCATGTCATTGAAACTTGCACATTATGGAGAGCTGGAGTTTTGCCCAATAGTGAGAGGAAGCAGAAAGGATCATGGTTTATGAGCTAACTGATACTCCTTGGGAGTTATCAGTAGACTAAACCTGAGTGGCCCTGTCCCCAAAATATCACAGATCATGAAAAAGCCTTGGCCTATCTTTTGACACTTACTCTTCCTACCAGCACCTTGCAAGCTTTGCAAATCCTCATGACTTAATCAACCCATTCCTTCTCAGTAGTGCGCTGTGGAGGTGGGCATAGGAGCCACCTGACGAGGGACGGTGGGAAGTCAGTAGAACTATCGTGATGACCATAGGGGAGACAATATCAGTGAGTCCGTATCATGGGGCATTCACTTAGGGATTATGGCATATGTGGGCCTTTGGAGGGCACTTCTGTGCATCAAGTACTTAGCAAGTTTCATAGTTGTACTATAAAGCAGAATGATAAGATTGAGGAGTAACAATTTTCTATACACATCAGGGATACTGTTTGGTTGAATTATATGGAATTGTCATTTTTCAGGCAACGATGGTTTAATGTCAGTGATCTTACATAGTTCTACCTGGTTTTTAGGTATAAGCATTAAAAGAAAACTTGCACTGTTTGAGTTGTGTACATGATGCCACATAAGCATGGACAGGAAAACACCATCTTGTTTTATATCAATTGTTTCGGAATTAGACTAATGAAGTCCTGTCTAGACTTTTTTACAGTTTGGAAAACAGCCACTTGCTTCCCAACAAGGCAAAAGGACTCTATGATACTACTGCGTCTATGACAGAAATGCCCATAAAGCATTTAGATGTTTATAGAGTGTCTCTCGGGGCCTTTGCTTTAGATTTTTAGTGTTTACCTATTTCTTTTAATTCATTGGTAAACTAATTGGTTATAATATTCCAGTGTAATTCTTTTTTAAACTGTTTATCATTCTATTACTATAGTGACCCATGATACTTAATCGCTAGTCTTCTCATTACATGCCCTGTTTTTCTGCTTCTGCAGAAAAACCATATTGCTATAAAGGAAGTTTGTTTCTGCTTTGGTGTGAAGTGCAGTTATTTTTTGGTGTGATTTTTGCATGTAATTTTAATTTTAAAACCCAGGTAAATATTGGCAACAAAAACAAAAGGTAGCTGTGGGTGCTGTTGTAGTTATAGTTATTGTTTCTTTTGGGTGTGTGGTAGATTGGTTTTTGTAGACTGGAAGATGTTTCCTTGGAAATTGATTTCATCAAGATGGAACATAAGATTATCTTTTAGATCTTAATTTATCAAATGGCCTAGAATAAAAGCAATATTTGTGTGTGTGTGTGTGTGTGTGTGTATGTGTGTGCTGTAAGAAATGGTAGGCTTCTACTTCTTTCTGTGAATTTGCTATTAAAGATGAATTGTAGAGCTAAGTGTATGGATATCTACACTCTGATGTCTTCTTATGACAAAGAGATCATGGCATAATGTCAAAGACACAGTTATTGTACATTCCCTTAAATGACAAGCCATAAAACAAAATCAACAACAAGAAGAAAAATAAAAAATTTACAACATGACGTTAAATAACATGCTACTGAATGACCAATGTGCCACTGAAGTGAAAAAGAAAATCAGAAACCTTCTTAAGCAAGTGATGCTACTATATGATGGAGTCAGTGAGGAAATTAGTAAGATAAAAAAAGCTATTTTGAAGAAATGAAAGTAAAAGCAAAATTATCAAAACCCATGATGAAGCAAAAACAGTATGAAGAGGGACATTTATAACATCAGGTGCTTACAAAAAATAATGCATCTCAAGGACTAATTTTAAAAAATAGAGAGGAAGCAAGAAACAATCAAAATCACAGCAAAAATAAATGAAATTGAAACTAAAAAACTACAAATTGTAACAAAAAAGAGCCATTTTTTTAGAAGATGAGCAAAACAAGCTTAGCCAGACTAGCAAGGAAAAGCAACAGAGGAAAACCAAATAAAACAAGAGATGAGAAAGAAAACATCCTGAGAAACTAGTAAGGTGATCTCTTCTTGCTGAATGGATCCTTTGATCATTATATGGTATCCTTCCTTATTGATTTTAATATTTTTCACATAAAAGTCTATATTATCTAATATAAGAGTGGCTACCCCAGCTCATTTTTCTTTTCCATTAGGTTAGAATATCATTTTCCATCTTTTCACTTTTAGTTTCCTCATATCTTTAGTGAGATGCATCTCCTGCGGGCAACAGAAAGATGGGTTTTGCTTTTGGATCCATATTGCTAACCTATGATGTTTGATTGATGAGTTTAATCCATTTACATTTAGGGTTAATGTCAAGAGGTAGTAATTTTGTCTTGTTATTTTAGCAATTTAGTCTTCCCTTGTTTTATTGGGATGTTCTCCACATTTGCCTTTGGTTTTGGTAGGTGCTATTGCTTTTCTCTGTGAAGAGAACATCTCTAAGTATCATTTGTATGGCAGGTCTGGAAGAGGCGTGTTCTTTGAGCTTTTGATTACTGTGGAAGAAATTTCCTTCATTTTCAAAAACAAAGGAAGGCTTTGCTGGATAAGTGATTCTGCCCTGATCACTTTTTCCTTTTAGAATCTGGAATATGTCACTCCTCTGGCCTATAGAGTTTCCTCTGAGAGGTCAGCAGTGGGTCTCACTGGGGTTTCTCTACATGTTAATTTTTTCATTTGCATATTTAAGGATCTTTTCCTTTGTTGAACTTAAGAGAGCTTGAATTATCTTGTGTAATGGTGAAAATCACTTTTGGTCAACGCTATTAGGAGTTCTGTGCTCTTCCTGTATTATGTTTCCCAATTCTTTCTCCAAATTAGGGGATTTTTCATTTATTATTTCATTGACTATATCTTTAAACCGAGCTTCTCTTTTTGTGCCTTCTGGAACTCCCGTAACTCTCATATTTGGCTTTTTAATCATGTCTTTAATTCTTGAATACTTTTTTTTAGCTTGACCCACCTCTGATTCCAGCATTTTTATTGTTTCCCCATTGTGACAGGAGATATCTTCCAATTCTGCTTCACCCATCCTATTATTAAGAGTTTACACTGAATGTTTAATTTGCTCTATTGTGTCCTTCGTTTCCAATAATTTGGCATGATTTTGTTTCAGTGTTGCTATTTCCTGTGTGAAGTATTCCTTAAATTCTTTGAACAACTGTATGTGTTTGTTGTTAAGAAGCCTTATGACAAGTATTTCAAATTCTTCTTCCCCCTTTTCCTTGATGTCTTCCTTAGTCAACTCTGAGGTTGACAAGGGCTTTTGCTCCTTTGCAGGGGATGCTTCCGTAATATTCATTGTGCCTCTGTCTTTTCTTTTGCTCTTGGTCATTGCTATTCTGGTTAGCAGATTCCTCTACTTAGGGCAGGTTTCTAAGCTGTGCTGCCCACTGGTCTACAGGTTGATTTTACTGATTGTGTTCGCTACCCAGTTCTTCATTTGCAGTCTCTCCCGCTGCTCCGTCCAGTCCTGGGCTCTTGTGCTATGCCCAATTGGTACTGTTTTCCCTGTGGGACCAGTGCATTGCATCAAGCTGGAAATGA